GTCTCAGAGCACATGGAACAGCACCTCACAGGGAGGGCCAGGGAGCTGCTCTCAAGCCTTTAGTCCTTCCCACCGCTTGTGGCTTTGTCGTATGGGGGTTTGTAAGGCCAATCTCATCCTAAGTTCATGCGCTGTCTCTACGGAGGTAATCTCCGATGAATGCTGCGCGTGAATTGGCTGAAGCCATGGACGGTTTCCATCGGGGACTTCGGGGGTAGTTTGAACACAGGATGTTTGGGATTGTATTGTAGTTAGTCCATCGTAGGCATACTCAATATATTCGTTGCCGGAACATCCGTTCTACCGGCTCGCATGCGGTATCCGGATACCGCCGGACCGATATCGAGGGTCTGTCTTACTTGATTAGTTTCAGTTACTTTCCATTTGTTCCTTCTATTTCACCACCTCCACATTCCTTGACTTTCTATATTAGATAGCTCGTATACCCCTGTAACGGGAGGCCGAACTCTTCCCCTTCGACCACTCTGTATCCCCTCTCTAGCTAGCCCCACTCCTTGGTATCACATCCTACTCGAACGTATCATCGTGCATATACCGCCATTCGTTATCCGGAAGTACGCTCACCCGTAGGAGGTTCACACGAAAGCTCGATTAGACTATCTATTGTATCTACGGTACAGTAGGAGTCACTTCAGGATACATCGGTAAGACACAGTGCTTGTTCAGCGTTCTCAGTGGCTCTTTCTGAATAGTCTGATCGTGGGAAAGAGGTTTCCACGTCGGAGTCAAACTCATCAATCGTGGTAATAAATGGGGAGAATATTACAAATCGATGGCACCTTAAGTAGTGTCCAGTATTCCAATACGACACCGCATTTTTGGTGTGTAGATTAGTAGAATCCGTTGATTTATAGTCCAACAATAAAAGAGGGACCTATCGATGACCAACAGAGAGGCAATGCGTACTTTCAATGCCTTCCCCTCGTTCTAACACTGTCGATATACCCGACCTTGTATCCTACTGCGACTTGCCTCTCCATCTTAACCGGAACTGCAACCCTTCGTCTCTGGAAACGGATGAGTGGATCATCAATTCCGGCGGTTTATCAGGAAAGCGGAAGACCGTCGTGGCCGGCTTTCAAGCTGGGCTTCTTGCCTCCATGACCCACGCGAACTGCGACTTGGCTGGGCTTCGAACTGTAGCCGACTTCATGCATTACTTGTTTCATCTAGACGATATTACCGATGATCTTGATCCAGAGGACAACGCTGACTTGGCTGCAGTTGTCACAGATGTCCTGCGTTTTCCGAAAGAATATACTGAGATGATCAATAAAGGGACGGCCCCGGTGTTCATTAGACTCACGTACGAGTATGTCGGTATACCCTGCTGGGATCGGGCAAGCCGCTGACTCCAATCGAGCATCTGGATGCGCATGCTTCCTCAGTGTGGGGAAGGAACGAAGACACGTTTTATTGAGGCAAATCATCTCTTCCTGCAAGCAGTGTATGGACAATCAGTCCTATGTATCGGTGGTGAACTTTCTCTCCTAGATGGATATATCATGCTTCGTCGAGATGACGGTGGCGCGAAACCGATGTTTGTCCTTATCGAGTATGCCTTAGGGTGGGAACTGCCAAGTGAACTCGTCGATGATCCGGTGATCAAGAGGTTGGAGGATGAGGCTAACGACATGATAGTCTGGAGTAATGTTCGTGATCTCCCTCTAGCTCGTGTGCCAACTGACATGCAGGCAGGACATTTTCTCTTTCAAGAAGGAGCAAGCTCGGGGAGATCGAAACAATTTGATTACTATCGTCATGGAAGAAAAGGGTTTATCCATGCAGGAGGCATTCGATTTCGTCGGAGACATGTGGAAAGCTCGATTCCATGACTTCAAGGAGGACCGCAAGAAACTGCCGTCCTGGGGAGAAGTTGTGAACAGACAAGTCGAAGGATACGTCCAGGGCCTAGCCGACTGGGTTGTGGGTAACATCCACTGGTCGTTTGCCTCTAAGAGATATTTCGAGAGTGAGCGAGATTTTTTGGGAGCGCACGTCGCCAGTAGCTGATAGAATGCAGATGGCCAAGAAGTCAAACAATATCGTCAGGTTAATCTTGGGCCAGTGACCGTGGCTGTGACGAAACAATCACAGTCCATTTAATAAGTTGAAACTTTTACGAGTAGTCAGGATAATTCCAGAATTTGCACCTGTTTGCTGTTCCAGTTGAGAATAACGCTCGGGAAAGCTGCGAGAGTGATACGGCGTTAAGCGGACAAAAAGGTGCCTAGAGCCCAAACAGCTCGTATTCGCCAGTTATCCAGATTTTCGGTCAGAGCCAACGCGGAGGAGTGCACTACAATAGAGCTTCAGGGAGCCAAGATATTTTCGGTAGACTGGCTTCCGAAAAGTCTGCAGAGTGACGATTGTTTAATTTTGACAACGAACAAAAAGGGCACAGGCATGAGCACAGCCTTTGAGCGTGACAAGGGGCACGTGGTCCAACATGCTTCTTTCGACTTCCTGGCCCTTGGTCTAATGGTCGTATGGTGCACATTACTGGCTTACTGGCTTCTGTTGTCCTCGAGCATCGATGGCATCTTCAATGGTTGTGAAATTACTCCACTACCACCGGCTCAGTCTCAGCGCCAGGAGCTCTTAAGCCTCACGACGAGAGTGAGGCCATGCCCCTAACCTACCTTTTCATCCTACCTGCCAGCCGTTCGGTGGTCGAGCTACCTTCCTCTCACCTCTTTTTACTATTCAACAACCCCCATAGCTGACTGCTTGCAGATCACACTCGTTACTTGGTGCCGGCACCAAGACAAACTGCTCGACGAACTGTTGACCTACAGTCTCTCCTTTTCACGACTTGACCGCCTCGTAACGACGCACCTTTGGCATGTCTCCTTTCAAGATGATATCGAGCGTCAAAGAGACGGCTTGGAAGTATCTCCTGTTCAATGGTATGACCGAACGTCCATCATTGTTGGCCGTCCAGTTGACTCTTCCCCCAGGAGCGCGCTTCTTCAGTATCCTTACACTCCTGTTGGTGTTCAGCTCCAATATTCTTGTCATGTATCAGTGCGTCCTAAGATCAGGTGGACAGTGACATCAGCTGACGTATATGCAGGGATATACAAGCTATCAGGGATGCGAACTCTGGGGCCGTTACTTCTGGTATCGCCTCCTCGAATTCGACTCTTTTTTCGAACACGACAATGTCCATGGCGACCGATGAATTTGTTGAATGCGATTATCTCGAATACTCGACCGTTCCTAATCAGCCTGCCGGTGCTTTCTGGGCTATTCTCAACCGCCTCTTTATCCTGTTCCAGTGTCTTATCCTCCTTTGGTCTGAACTGGGGTTCTACGAGCACATCTTGAAGGAGTACATGCCTATACTCGGCCCAGATTTTGGCGTATGGACCCTTGGAGCGATGCAGTGCATGATTAGCGCCGTTGTGCTTTCTCATCAGTACGTAGATTATCTCTTTTAGTTGCACGCTGCTAATGTCTAGATCAGTGTCGACGAATTTCCCCTGGTCTCTGCCTTTTTCCTCTTCGCTGTTGGATGCCTTAACATTATCATCGGGCTGGGCTACCGAGCTAAGATGAAGGAAGATCGCATCTTGTTCAACTTCCTCGGTAAAACGAAGTCGAACATCAAGTCCGGATTGCCTTTGATGGGCAGCGATGACGATGATGACAAACCTGCCCGGCCTGCATTCCTGAGGCTCTCCGGCATCAAGGGCAAGATCTCCAATCCTATTCGCAACACCCAGAGCGATGCGGAACTAGGAAGCTATGGGTATAGCGAGAGGATGCAGAGTTGGGGTTTCGGGCGACAAGGCCAGAAGGCTGCTGAGTACCAAGGCACGCATTCAGTGGCCAGCAGTGGAAGTCTAGATGTACTAACATTTTCATGGTAGGTGCTATGGTATCCGAGCCGGTGGCAAGTCTGCCGAAGTATGCAGGATCGCCTCCTGGCTCCCCTAAAGTTCAGAAAGCCGCCATTGAAGCAGTGTGGCAATACAAAGGAGATAGCAAGTTCTGATGATCACCACGAGAAGGGCTTCTAAATGGACCCTAGGAATACCCTCACATCTCATATGTCTACCATTGTATCGTAACCCATTCATTCACTGTATCTTAATACTGTACTGGGGCGTATCCGTAATACCGAATTAAACCAGTGCATATCCTTTGAGGTGGAGGAGTTGAGCAAGGCGCCGCAGTTATCGTGCCGAGTGGCAGTCCTGCACGCGGTTTAGGTTCCGGTGTGGTGTCGCCTGCAGGCTTCGGTTCATGTCAGGCCATTTGACGACGAAAGGACAGGGACATCACCAACTTGAACGGACTGACGAACGACTTACTCACTGGCGCAACAGCGCTGTCAAATACCTCTGTCAAAACTTAGCTTCGAGCTATCTAATTGTCCTGCTGCGCCTTTACGTCTTGACGACCCGCATTGGGGGATGACGACGCGAAGCACAGATAGTCGCATGTCGCGGCGCTTTGGCCGAGAAAGGATTACGGACGAGGATGTGTACAAGTGCGTGTATCTGGAAGTAGTCGACAATAATATGCTGAATACACTCCATCAGTTATGCCCTTCGTGTGGCGTAGGTGGCCAGTGATACCCATTGGAGTGGAAAACTGATGCTTCCAACAGATATCTCTCCTATCTCATGCTCCCGAAGGGCGACGCGCCAGGAAATGGCAAAGATACCGCCACCTCCACACCGAGCAAAGAACATTCACGTCTAACGTCATCACTGTTTTCGATTACGGATGTTTTCAAGGATACCATTGGTCGAGATGGCTCCAAGACAGTGAAGTTCCCAGAGAAGCTGCTCAAGGCGCTCGACCAGAAGATGCAGAACATCGCTATGCTCAAGGATCCCGGATACACGGACCAGCTGCTTCGCAGGACTATCGCCGTATTCTGGGGCTCTTTGAAGGATGAAACCTTCTACAGGCAGATGAAAGAGAACCGAAAGATCGAGGAGCTCATTCTTCATTTCGTGACAACTGCCACAGGAATTCTACGGAAGGATCAAACCCTCGCACCCGACGCGTGGAAGGAGCAGCTGAACAACCAGATTGGGCAGTTCATCCACATTCTGCGAGAATGCTTACGAACGGTCAGCAACGTCAACCCTGAGTTGACGCAGCGGCTCGATATGTACGCGGAGAAGATTGGGTCTCCTCCTACTCAATCAGGGGCAGACGGGAAGGAGAGTGGTCATTCGCATAGCCAGAGTCAGAGCGGTAGTGGGGCGTGGAGCACGCAGTACTCCCATTCGGTGGCGGATATGCCGCTCGTGAAGACGGTCGGTCGTCTCTTTCGCAAGAGCGACCAGGATGTTCAGAAGGATATCAACGCACTGCGCAGGGTATGCACAGAAAAGGCAGCATTGACGGACCTGAAGGTACGTACATTTTCTTTTCTCTCTTACTGTTGCATTTGTCTGATGTTTGAACAGACTTGCCTAAAGAACATCAACATGAACATGCCATTCCCCGGACGCAGAGACGACTTCGATAGCGAGGAAGCATTTCATCATTGGAAGACAACAGAACTCTCCCAGCTATCACAGCTTATGGTCATCATGGTTCAGTTCAATCCCGAGCTAGCAAAATCCACGCCTTCTGAAATCTTACCATCTGTCCCGGAACAGTCTCGTCCTAATTCCCTCTACGTATCAAGCTCATCACCTTCCGATTCCTATGCCTCTCCAGCCTCCCGTCATGGTAGTGTTAGCAGCCGATACTCCATTGGTGGCAACCTTGGTATGAACCCCGAAGCTGCGGCCGACGCCCTTGAAGCGGATGATGAAACACCGTCCGGCCATAATTTCACGTATATCCCTCCAAATCCAAAGCGGTACTACAAGCGATTGCTGGAATTATGCTTGCAGTACGACCTCGAAGCAATGAGCGAACTGCCGGAGGACCAAGAAGTTTCATTAGGCATTCTTAGCCCACGACACCTTGAAGTTATCAATGAGTGTGCCGTTCGGTGGCGCATTCACCAGAGCTATCGCGTAACCAGCTTTCTTGATATCATCCGATACAAGTTCGAGCGGGAGGAGGTACCTCTTGATTGTGTACCTGAAGCGTTGGCAATGGTTGATAAAGCTGGTCTTGAGACACCTCCGACAAACTGGATGAGCCAAGATGCGGAATATCTCGCCTCTGTGTACGGCAATCTGTTCAACCTCTTCCTCGGATCTCTCTACCATACTCTGGATGACATACCAGCTCTCAAGATAGACACTGTCGCTCCATATCTGACAGTGCTGGAAGCTATCCAGGAAAGCACTTTGATTGAACGCTACAACCTGGACATTCGTGCAAGGGTCTCGGATATTGTGGAACGAGTCAAGGCGATTTCAGCGCACAGGTATACCGAGAAGATGAACGAGTTGTCGCCCCAAGCGGGTGTTAATCGAGCCATGCCGTTACTGTTTATCCTGGATTGGATGGACAAAAACACCAAAGTTCTGAACAAGCGGTTCCCCCAGGCGCTACTTGGGTAAGTACTCACACTTCTAATTCATGCTGTGACTTGCTGAGTTGCTTTCAAAGGCAAATCGATATCGTCGCTCTAATGTTGGAGGCTCAGACGCCTATGTTCTTGACAGATTTGGAGGGTATGCGACGTCGACTATACGAGGGGGCTCAGAATCAACCAACTCCGGACGTGCCGCTTGAAGATATGTTTGAGCTGTTCAAACGCTCCCGGGTGTGCTTGGATCGATATGAGGTCTTCTGCGAAGAGTACGAGCTTCATTTCATCCAACTCGACCGATGCTAAGATATAGCAGCATACCTCTTGAGTTCGACCTTGCTAATTACTTCGAGCCTTACGTCCGACTATGGCTCGTAGCAACGGATACGAAAGCGATCCAGTGGGTGCACTCCGTATGTATCTGAATATCTTTAGCAATATGTATCTAATGAGCTGTCAGGCGATCACAGTGGACAAATTCGAGCCCGTGGGAGCAGAAGGTCACAGTTCTTCAATCGTGGATCTGTTCGATTCTTTGAAGAGCGCATTGGACTTTCTTCTGGACCTTGACTGGCCTGATGAGTATCAGAAAGCCAGATTCCTTACGGCACTGGCCAAGGTGTGTTGTATAGTACCTCTTCTCCCTAATTGGCTGACAACCTTTCCAGAGCATCAACAAATGTATTGAGCAATACTGCAGCACGCTCGAGCAGATGTTTATGGAAGAGATGTTCCCTCGTCCTTCTCCAGAAGTTGCTGCTGCCACCGCCGCAAAGCAGAATGCGTGGCTAGAAAAAGCAAAGGCTACAGTTGCCACCTTCCAGGGAGAGAAAAAAGTCGAACCTTTCAATTTCCAGCCTGCTGTGAGTAGAACGTTCTCAGTGTGATCCATTTGAGTCGAACTCATATTAAGTGTTATTTAGTCTTGCGTACGATTGAACAATGTGGAAGCGGCCCGTGGTCTGTTAGATCAGATCTATGTCAAGATCGATGCAGACAAAGTGGCGGAAACCGTGAAAAGGTTAGCACCTCCCGTCCCCGAGAAGACCGACCGGCTTGGCTTCCTATTCACTGTCAAGGTAGTCGAAGCAGAACGGCTTGTTCCGACAGAAGCCAGTGCCACCGCCAAACTCGATACCTTTGTTACTCTGAGTGATGAGCGTGGCATGCGCCTTGCCAAAACTCGGACCATCTATGAGTCTTTACAACCTCAGTGGGACGAAACTTTCGATATCACGGTTCGTGATCAACCCCTTTGGCTGATGGCAAGCATACGAGATCGGGCTCTTATTGGCAAGCACGATACAGTCGGTCGGTCGTATATTTGTCTAGATCCGCGAAGATTTGGCGACTTCTTATCCCATGAGGTTTATTTAGATCTCGACACTGGCGGTCGCCTGCACCTGAGAGTCAGCATGGAAGGCGAGAAGGACGACATTGAATTCTACTTCGGCCGAGCATTTCGGTCTCTTAAACGCACGACGAGCGACATGGCTCGCGTTTTCGTCGACAAGATGGCCCCATTCATTAGGCAGTCCTTGTCCAGAGATCTCTTGCGTTCACTTGTGCGACCTGGTGGTGCTGGTGCTCTCGCATTGGAACGAATCAACTACAAGCAGGCTCTGGGCGGAATGCAGGCATTTTACCGGTCTGCCATTGGCGGCGCTTCCGAAGAGCCGCTCATACCCCTCCCCGCTAGCGAACGTCCACGTTTCAGACCAGAGGCGTTATCAGACGCTGACATAGAACAAGTGATATCACCCTTGTTTGAATACTTCGAAGCCAACCTTCAAATCCTCAACACTTTCTTAACCGAAATCACCAAAGAAATGGTCATGAAGAGGATATGGAAAGAAATTCTATCTATCATAGAAGGATTGCTCATTCCTCCCTTGTCGGACGCGCCGTCCGACATGAAGGCCTTAACTGATAAGGAGGTGGATGTCGTGTTCAAGTGGTTGAAGGTATGTCTTCACATGGTGACGTCGATGCAGGCTAATACTCGGTAGTTCCTGAATAATTACTTCTATGCCGAAGGCGATGGGCTTCCCATAGAACTGCTACAGAATCAACGTTATCGAGATATCATGTCGATCAGATTGTATTATGACTGGGACACGTACGCGCGGCTGTCTTTTTGCCTTTTTTGGTCTCACGCGAAAATGACAGCGATACCCTGATGGAAGAATGTGTTCGCATGATGAACCAACGTCTTCGGGTAGCCCCGTCCCTGCGCAAGCGGGGCAAGAGCGTGTATCAACAGAAGAATCTTGGTACCATCCGCAAGCGCAAGAAGGAAAAGCGGGAGGAAAAGAAACAGGATGGATCAGGTGGCGAGACCATCCTGCGAATTCTGCGTATGCGACCCAACAGCAGAGACTTCATCGCGCAACAAATGCAGTTCATCCATCAAGTGCAAGGTGAAGTTGAAGAAGTCGATTCCCGAGGTGGCCACCGGCGCGACTCTTCGATGGGACTGAGACTACCTCCGATGCAAGAGATGAAGGAGCATTAACCCTTTTTAGTACACTTTCCCCTGTTTCCATGGCAAATTCGCACGGACCATTTGGCATACCCGCAATTCTTATCACCTCCTGTAGAGATTCCTTTGTGTTTTCCTGTTTCAATAAGTCAAGGGCTGGATTATGTACTTATCTTGACTTCCAATATAAACGATAACTCGTCCTCATGACACGGTTTATAGAGAAAGGAATGACACCGTTTGCTGCCAGGCCACAAAGCAATAATATCCACTTCACCTGCAGCTGACAAGGAAAGCCTGATATTTGCAAGGTCAAACTTCATGCTACAGTGAGTGACCGTGAAACATGTATGGTGGGACCTTCCTGTATTACGCCCAAAGGACCACGTCATAGACGTAGTGATATATTTTAATACATGCATGATGCCGTGTGTGAACATAGATAAAGGGAGAGGGAGTTTGTCGTTAATTGGTCAGTTGGGCAGTCCTGGCGGCTTCATAGTGATTGGGGCGTACTGTCCTCCCCAGCTTACCCTCTTGCGCTTCTTTGCAATCCCGCCTCCTGGTGTAGATGACGGCGGCGCGCCAGTCACGCCTCTAGAAGGCGCCAGCACCTCTGCTAGATCTAACGCATCCGTATCAAAGGTTCCGCTCATGTTGCCGAACAGAGCAGGGAACTCGGACGCAAGAGAAGAAGAGTTGCGCAAATCCCAAGAGGCGGTTGCCAGATCCAGGGAAGGAAATGAGGATGAGGGTGTAGGCGAGGGGCCGCGTAAGGAAATGAGATGGTCGAAAAGGGAGTTGGAGCGGCGCATGTTTGGTCGATTGAGCCCGGACAAGTCCTGTTCCCCGGTGGGAGAGAATAACAACCCGTTTTCCGGTACGTCGGGAAGCGCGCTGCCGGAAGGCACGACGTATTCATCAATACGTAGTTCACGCATCTGGGCTGTAGGCGTTGTCGCTTGGCGCAAGGGCAACAGAGGCTGGCTAAGGGACAAAGGCGACGGTGCTCGAGCGGTGGAAGGCACAATCGTAGCACCCATAGTCGGAGTGGTAGCGTCGTCTCGCGGCAGATCAGGAGGCGGCAAGAACCCTTCCAGCGCAGCAGTAGCAGCCTCGATATCCTCCGCAGTGGGCATCTGCATCTGGAGGTCGTCCAGGTTCGACCCGGGGGGGATACCGAGCTCATGCGCGAGCTCAGCGACTTTTTCTGCTTCCTTGAGCGCTTGAGCCGCCTGCTCCAGCTCGTCTAGTCCGATGCCGAATTCGGGCTCGTGGATGTCGACTTCGTCCATCCCAGGCTGTCGAGCACCTAGTGAATCATCTACAATCTCCTCGTTCTCCCAGATATCGTCTTCCTCGCCCTCACCCCGCCGCTTGCCCCAGTCAGGTAACAAGGGCTGCCACCCGCTAGGCAGTTCCATGCCCGCCACTCCTCCCGCCCTCACCCCACTGCCCCGGATCAGGTCACCCGCGGTCGAATGATGCGTAAAGCTCCTGTACAGCCTGGCCAGGCTGTCCCTATCCCTCTCCCTAGCCAGATCCTGCGCCATACTCCAACTAGCCGCCATCGCTCCCGCCTCACTGGCGAAATCGTGTCCATAAGCAGCGGCGGTAGAGTACAAGTCGTACCGGTCGACGACGTCATGCGACTGTTGTGCTGTCTGGTCGAAGCCGGAGAGGCGGGCGTTAGGGGCGAGCCAGTTGGTCGGGCCCCAGGCAGGGGGAGGTTTCTTTGAGTCGTTGTTGGAGAAGAAGAGGGGGAAGGGGAAGCCGTGCGGGGACGTGCTGTTTGAATGCGGGTCGGAGGCGAAGAGGGAGTTAGAGGGCGAGCTGCTTGGAGCCCAAGAGATGTCGCCCGATGCTGAGGCCGATGCTGAGGCGGAGGTAGACCACTGGGAGAGGGAGACGTCGTCTGCCCCTCCTAGGCTGGCGTTCTCCGAGTAGATGCTCTCTGGCCGCGTGGGCTGGGGGAGGGTAAAAGGGAGGGAGAAGCTGAAGGTTTCCGCGCTGGGGAAGGTTGTGCTGGGGGACCGGGTATGTGCGGCGGAGACGGAGGTGGACGAGCGCACACGGGTGAACGCCTGGGTTGGGAACCCGCCTGCTGTGCTCGGCCTTGGGCCTGGTAAGCGGGGGGGAGGTCCCCAGCTGCTCGGCCCGGTCGACGTGCTCGGGATCGGCATAGCGTCGAGCTGCATAGGGAGGACTTCGGTGTCCTGCTCAGGCTGGGCAAAACCGTCCAGCTCCATCTCCGTCTCCGCTCCCTCTAGCTCGCTCTCCTCTCCTGGACCAGAACGCATCACGGGCCCCTCCTCGCCCTCGCTCATCCCCCCCCTCCTCGGGCGGATACTCGTCGCTCTCCTAGGATGGGGGACAACCATGCTCTTCCTCCTGCTCCTGCGTGTGCCTCTCCCAAGCTCCGTAGCTCCCAAAGGTGGGGACGGAGGCTCAGAACGGGATTTCAGCCCCGAGCTGGCAGGCTCAGTCCGTCGCTTAGGCTTGTTCCCACTCGTCCCATACAGCTCGGGCTCGATATGCCTGAACCTATCCCTGAGCTCGGTAAGCTTGCGGTCCTTGAAACACTCGTGTTCTCGCGCGATGGTAGCCCAGTGTGAACCATGCCGCGCATAGCCGTCCCGGAGAGCGTTGTCTTCCTCGAAGGTGAAGGGTCGCTTGCGAACTTGCTCTTTGCGCTCGAAACAGTGCACAGTGCCGGATCCGCTGGCGCGTGAGCGGGAAAGGTGCGTCTTAGCGTTCGGATAGTGCTTGCGGTATTCTTCGGGGAAGTACGTGCGGAAGCTGGTGCCTGTTAGGGAGATTCTGAGAGGTCAGAAAGCATGAGGACGTACCGGTCTTTCAGGTCTGTAGCAGAGCGAGACTGGAAGCTGTAGCTCGGGTCGTTGAGGATCGTCGTCCAGTTACCAACTCCATGCTGCGGGTGTTCAATGAGCAACCTTTGTGCAAAGAGTAAAAAGAACATACAGCTTCACAACCATCGATAAGCATCTGCGTCTCCTCTTTCGTCCACAGCTTGCGTGCCTTCTTAGTACTAGGCTTGTTGTCCTCACTTGCGCTGCCGTCTCCTGGTTCAAAGGTAGAGGGTTGCAGCTCCTTACCCTCCCTGCTCTCTGGAGACGCCCAGGACTTCTTCACAGGGATGCTGGTGCTGCTCCCAGACGAGGCAGGGACAGCTCCCCCCTTGCCTTTATCCTTCTCCTTGTCCTTCTCTCGCTCTAGAAGACGCATCTCGTCCCTAAACCCGTCAAAGAGCTGCCTGTGCTGCGACGCAGGTAGGGAAACACGCCGTTGTTTGGCTTTTGCTGGGGGTGGTGGGGGTTGCGTAGGCGTTTGAGGTTGTGGGATAGCTGGAGGAGAGAGAAGAGAGAGTGTAGAGCCGTACGAAGTAGACGTTGAGCGAGGGATGAACTGGGGCGACGCTGGGAGAACAGCAGCAGACGTCGACGCCAGTGCGTGGGAGAGAGACGCTGACGGTGGATGATGTGACAGGATCTGAGCTTCGCGGACTTCATTGAGCGGTCCAGAGTTGAATAATGCTTGGATGTCCGCGCGGGACATTGTCAGAGTGTTGAGGGCGTCTTTCATCGTTCCTTCGTCGTCGTCGACGATGGTGAGCGGTGGTGGTGACGAGCAAGGGCGCTACCCTGAGGAGATAGAGCGGTTATAGTCTCCTCTGACTTGAGCGCAACGGTACTAGTAAATAGATAAATTCGTGGTGAAGCAAGACGAGAAAGTTCAATTTGAGTATAAAAAAAGTTAATGACTCGATAGAAAACGAATGTTATAATAATAATAAGAATAATAATATTGTAATACCGCTGCTCTGGAGGCACATTGTACACATGTTATACGCTGTTATTGCCGCTTACGGACACCAATGTTTTGGCTACTTTGCTAAGCCATTCTACCCACCTGGGAGACTACATAGTGTTGGTATGAAACTTAGTCACCGGGATGTGTAAGTTGAACCCAAACAAGTGCAAAACACCCCTCAGATACAGCAGGCTGGCCCTTTACGAGAAACCTGCCTCAGCATCAAACGATCCAGTTTTGGCCCACTGATTGTTCACCATCAACAGCAGGCTCCACAACGCAAGTGAATACAACTCAGTCAATCTCCAACACAGAAAGTCACAACACGCACAGTCACTGCGGAAGATACCACTCAACCTCTCGGCTGCCCTCCCCAGACGTGTCGAGTCCAGATAGCCACTTTTTCACCGTAGGCTCGACGGCGCGCTTGGGAACATCATCCCCTATCTGGGAGGTTCCATCACAGCCTGCGACTTCATCGACGGGCGTATAGGGCTCTTCTGCAAACGCCTCCGCGTCAAGAGAAGTGTGTATGACACTGCAGTTGTCATCCTCTTCGACTGAGCCATCGCTGGTCCATTCGTCGTCAATACCCGCAAGGAGGTCGCAAGCTTCAAGTCCATCGGTCCGTCTCTTGCCGAGTGTGCCACTGGTCCGTCCTCTGGGACCTGTACCAGAAGCTCCTGCGCCGGCACCTGTTCTACGGCCCCTCCTCCCTCGGGCTCCTCGCGCGGCACGAGAGCCAGTGCCTGGATGTCCCGCACCAGGATCGGGTCCAGACGTCTCCCTCTCTTCCGCCACACTACCAAGCGAAGGTTTACTCGCTTTTTCCTTGAGCTTTTTGCCCACACGCCACGTCCACCAGAGCGGTGGTAGAATCGACCCTCGGCGCTCCTCGGAAAGACTCTCCAACGCTCCGAGCGCCGCCCGGAAAGCGTTCACTTGATACGGAACGATTCGCGTAACGACGTCCACAAAGCGCAAGAACTCTTCCAGCAAATAGAAACGGAAGACCGCAACCTTGAACACATTGATGCGCTGGAGCAAAATAAGACATGAGCACCGCAGCAGTGGACGGAGCTCGAGCGTACTTTCATGGCCCGATTGGAGTCGCCCGCGGGGTCACCTAGGGTGGCATAGTACAACGCGCCATACGCTGAGTTCAAAGACATTGCAAAGCGACCGATGTTGAAGCCTTTGGGATGACACGCCTCAGTTCCGCTAGGGTTGGGCGATGCAGGAGGGATATCCGTGGAAGACGAAGGTGTGGCCGCGGACTGAGAGATGTGGAGGGCCGCCATTTGCAACGTCGGCACCGCAGGAGCAGACGACGTGTCTGTCGTTCTATGAACATAGCTCAGAGCAGCCCAGCAAACCGCGCATGGATGCGTACCCCTCTGACTTTGACCACTCGGCCAAAGCGAAAAGTCCCAAAGCGGGACAGCGGCCATGAGATCATAAATTATCTCTTCAGTAAGGTGCCGGAACTTGCTCTCGGCTGACAAGGGGAACAGCGTGATATCCTGCTTCTGTGGGTCTTCAACATTCTCGTTCCAGTATACTTGGGAAAACTCTTGAAGGGCTCGACTAGCAAGCATATCTCTCAAGACTCGGTCATGCTCTCTGCTAGGCTTGTATATGCCGGCAGAATCCAAGCGTGCACCCGTGGATTTGGGCACACGCACTAGTTCATGGGGTTGAAACTGCTTTTTCGTTGCAGCTAGACAGACACTGCGCTCCTTACTAATGAGAAATGCCAGTGTCAGATTCAACAAAGATGCACCGGCCAGGAGCAACGCACCGGAAAAGGAACTCGTCCGAACTGTTTTGGTGCCGCCCTTCCTGGGCGTCTGTCCACACACGCACAGCCAACTTGAGCACGCCATCATGGGCACTGACTATTTCGCTCTCGTTCACCGCATCGTCGCCTGTCGTCCGGTAGTATGCATCGCGCGCGTCTTCCCAGCAGTCATAAATCTCCGAATGATATGACGCCCAATCGATGCCGTTGTCCTCGCCTCCTCTGAGGACCTTGTCTTCGCCGAGAGCTAGGATCTCGTCGGCAAACCGCTGCAAACTACGATCGCGTCCGGTTCCCTTGCCTTTCCCCGTCTTCTTCTCGGCCGCTTTCTCCTGTGCCCACTGCGAATGGTTACTTAGATCATGATGCGAGTTCTGGGTGGATTGGCGGACCTTCCAAATGTCAGGCGGCAGAAACGGATCCTGCCTCCCGGCTAAAACGCCCCCTTTTTTTTGCAGACGACAGCAGGGATGTCTCGAGAGTCGGGATAAACATCACCCTTCGTCGTCTTCTCCTTGATACCACACGCAATTTTGTAATTGTGCACGCCAGAAAGGTTGGCAAAGGCTGACGCCGACTCCTTCACCGACCCGCAAGAGAGATTGTCCGCGAGAGCGTGGAGGTCTCTGCACCATTGTCAGTCAGCAAGCAAAGAGCGACGGTTATGAATTGAAGAATCGACTTACGCTGCGGCTTCAGAAGAGGCCATTGAGATTATGGAACGCAGGGTGGTTCACCCTTAAAGAAACAGAATGCTGTGCCAGGGTTGCACCTGCCTTTGAGCAAATGGTTCCGTTTGGGTCCGCTGAATTCTATTTGTGCCTATTTTGGGCAGTGGACGGGATAGGTAGTGTTTCACAGGCTTTCACATACCAAGGCGTTTTCTGATATCCTACATGCTCTTGTTCGGCAAGTAGAGCGTCGTGTCCATTTAACGGGCAACGCCGGCAACTACGCTTACTATGCGGACGACATTCGCGCTGCTGGGAATATATCCGCAGAACATCACTTCATCATCTTTGGGACCTTCACCCCTGAACAACGGCAACGCATCCTCTGGCTTGCTGAAAACGTCGACTTCAGTCCCAGATGGACGGTGAACACGTGCCGGACGTGGATGTGGCGCCTTCTGACCAGCATGGTGGCCCACGGGTTGATCTCTGATGAGTGACTTATCTTCTCAATCTGACGCCGCCATGGCTCCGTGTGTATGTTCCCGAGTAGGATACAGTGTGGGCGCATACTGTAGCGTGTGGCGTCTGTTGTCAATGTGTCAGACGCATATATATTGCTGGTATGCAACGCCTCCGTCCCCACGAGGGGTATTTATGCGGAAGTGGGGAAGGACAGATGGGGGGCGAAAAAGCATACTTCAATAGATGACCGATCTCTATGGTGACGGTGTATGGTTGTGGATGCAAAGTACAGGCGATGGATCATTAATTGAGGACATCACCAAACCTAACCCTATTCCATGTCAGATAACGACCCGCGCT